TTTCAATTTTCGATCAATATATATATATATATATATATTAATAATAAGTATTACATGTCATTAAATTTTATATAAAATATATGATTAATATTAAAAATATTTAATACGTAAACTTATCATATATAAATTAACTGATTATATTTTGAAAAGTTTATCGAGAGCTATACATAATTAATCTAATATTGTATATAATATATGAATATATATTAATTGAAAAAATATAGAAATATTTGTGTGTATGTGTTATATATATATAGAGAATGGGGTGCAAGAAAGGAGTACGCGAGAGAGAAATACGCAGAGCGAGAGAGAGAGAGAGAGAGAGAGAAAGAAAGAAACGCAAGAAAGACGAAAACAAAAGGATTCGAAGCAGATTTGTGAGAGTTTACGAGTTGAGAATGGTGATGGACGTCGCAAGGATTGGTTTCCATTTTACACCGAACGATGAAGAACTGTTTCAGATTCTTGAAATGAAGCTGAGAGGAGAATATGAAGGGGGCGGAGTGACTGAGGTCGATCCGTATGAGAAAGAGCCATGGCTGGTGTTCGACAAGAATGAACCGACCACGTTTTATGTGTTTACAAGTCTGAAGAAGAAAAGCAAAACAAGAATGGAGAGAAGGGTCGGTTGCGGTACATGGAAAATGGAGAGATCCCTGGAGGTTGTCGACTGGGAGGAAAACGTTGTAGGGTTCAAGAAGATGCTTAGGTTTGAGGATAAGAAGAAGAACACCGAGAACGGTCGCTGGATAATGCATGAGTATTCCCTACGGGATGTGAGTATTCTCTCTTGCTTTCTTTCTTTACTTTCTGCAATCAGCTTCTTGCATGGAGAATATATATATATATATATATATAATTCTTTCTCTGATCTTTTACATATATATATGTATCGTTTCTATAATTTCTTCAGTCCGAGTTTTCCCATGCGCCGAATCGCAGGCGTAATTTTTTTTTTTATGTTATATACATGTGATACTCTTACTTTCTTGAAGTTCTTTGATCAGCTTCTTGCATTGTATGGATATAGTTATAGTAGTTTTTTCTTCTTTGTTTGTATATATATTTATATACATATACGTATGTTTCTTTTATATTATATTTCTCGCATTGCAATCAACTTCTTGCCATTTGCCACTGAGATTCATGAATATTCAAGACTTTTGTGGGAAGATGCTGAGTTCTTGTTCCAAGTCCTCATTAGAACCATACAGTACTTGTCCACCATCATCAGCTCTTGCACACATAAACTTTAAGCTTTTATTTTCTTGCTCTTTCCTTGTATGCCATCTGTTTCTTGTATTCGTGAAAAGTATATATATATATATGTGTATATAGGAGTAAAATTAGAACTAATGATTCTTTTATATATATATATATATATATATATTATATTATATGAATCACTTTTATAATCCATCATCTGAAGGTTCAGATTCCATCATCATCAGTTTTCATGCATACTTTTGCAAGTCTCTTATTACAGTTTCTTGAATCTATATGGAGGGTCCAAATTTTATTTGTGAATAATGTTGGGAGGAAATTTAAATTTTCTTTTATACATACACTTATGTGCTAATATACCAATATTAACTTGATTATTATAATATTAAATTTTTATATTTTTTGTTTTATATTTATATCAAAAATGTTATTTAATAGTTTCTTTTGAAATTATTATGAATTTTTTTTAATATATATAATCTTTTTAATTTACACAGTCAGACGATTACGTACTCTGCAAAATTAGAAACAAAAATATAGATAAACTACAACAACCAACAAAAATTAAATCGGTATATCATCAACGAGATAACAACAACACTCAAAAGAGAAAATTGAATGCAACACCTTTGGCAGCGGGGGATATCAATCCATTGGCCAATGCTGCACCCTTGGTGTCAGAGTATAATGACGGAGAAATAGCTGAGGAGATGACCATTACTGCACCTATAGCAGCGGAGAACATCAATCCATTGACCACTGCTACACCATTGGCGGCAGAGTTTAATGATAAAGAAATAGTTGAAGAGATGATCGTTGCTGCATCCTTGGTGGTGGGAAATATCAATCCATTGGCCACTACTGCACTCTTGACGGCGGAATATAATGATAGAAAAATAGTTGAAGAGATGATCGTTGTTTCACCCTTGGCGATGGGGGACATCAATCCTTTGGCCATTGCTGCACCGTTGGCAACCGAGTATAATGATGGAGAAATAGTTGAGGAGATGATCGTTGCTGCACCATTGCAGAAGGAGGTTGAACGGAATGAAAACTTCGCAGTCGATATAGATGAATTGTGGAAGGAGATTGAACAAAAAGACAATGTCACAGTTGATAGAGAAGAACTGTAGGAGAAGGTTGAACAGAATGACAACCCTGTAGCTGATATAGATGAATTGTGGGAGAGATTGAACGGAAAGATAATCTCATAGTTGATAAAGAAGAACTGTAAGAGGAGGTTGAATGAAATAACAACCTTATAGTTGATAGAGAAAAATTACATGAGGAAGATGAATGGAATGATAACCTCGTAGAAGAATTATTTGGGAACTGTGATAAATAACTATTGTCAGTTAAAAATCAGACTACGGTCCCATATGTAAAAATTTCGATGTAAAAACTTTGAACTGAATAGTTTCTACGTAAAAATTTCGATGTTTTTTGTATTATTATTGTTATTTCTATTGTTTTATTTTTTTTTCTTATTTAAAATTAATTAGATAATTTAATTTCTCGAACACAATTATGGCCATGGTGAAACTTCATGGACGTAGGTTGAATACAACAATAATCTCGTATTTAATATAAAAGAATAGTTGAATAATTATGAAGATTAAAAATTTATTAGTTGAAAATTAAACTACGATTTCGTGATTTTTCTCTTTACTTTCAGATTAAAGAATTTTTCACGTAAAATTAAGAATTGTATATTTTGAATATAGTGCATGAGTATATTATATGTTACACCTATTAATAATAATTTATTAAATTAAAAATATTATACGAAAAATAAATTTTAATATGTAATAAATGATAAAAAAAAAATATTGATTCATAACTATAAAAGATATTGAAAAAAAAAATTTTAAAAAAATAATTCAATTTAATGTATTACTATTTAACATATTAGTACTTAATTTAAGCTTAATTAAATGATTTTAAAATAAAAATAAAAATATAACCTATAGTTTAATTAATTAATTAGTTATAAAAATAGGATATGGTATAATTAACATATACATTTAATACACATTTTTAAAGTAAATTTTATAAATAAATTATTATAATAATGTTTAAAAGAAATTAAAAGTAAATATTACAGCCGAACTGCGGATGCGAACAGGGACACGTCGTCTTCTTCTCTCGCTCGCCCAACGCTGCAATCAAAAACTGAAAACCCTCACTCCCTGAGAAAACCAGGTGGATTCAAAATCACACAAAGCTCCAAGAAAAAGAAACAAAGGTGAAAACATAAGAACTGAGATCAGTAAATTTTTTTTTTAAAAAAAATCAGAAATCGTTGAAAGAAATGCGAGTCTTCAAATTAGCGTCTTATAATAGTCGTAGCAATTACTGGAATGGCGTTTATTCGCTTTGCCAGCAGTTGAGGCTAGGTTCGATTCGTTGCGTCGTCACCAATTGCAGGGCGGTGGTGCTCCCGCGGTTCGGTGGGCCCGGCGTGCTGGAGCTTCGGCCCAATGTATCGGTCCCTGATCTCAAGCCCAATGAGGTCCTCGTCCGTGCTCGAGCTGTCTCTATCAATCCTCTCGATACCAGAGTAAGTTGATCCATCTCTGGTTCTCGTTGAAGTTCTTTCTAGTTGCTTTTATCTTCCTTATTTCTTTCTTTTTCCATTATTGTTTTCGTTTACTTTGGCCTTTGTTGGCTGAGAGAAAAGCGCGAAATGGATTGAATTGGTGCGAAAATGGCAGGGCAAGGGATTGATCTTTGTTTCGATTATTTAGGTACTTATTATTCATGCATGTCTGGTTGCTGAAAAAGCACGGGAAATTGAAATGGAATCGGGTAGAGAAGATAGAATTAGAATTTGGCCGGAATGGAATGTCCAGAATCTATCTGAAATTCTGTTATTAATCTCGATATCAAGTTAGTGTAGTAGATTCAGCATAAGATTGTTTAATGCTTAGTTTAGGTTCCTCCTTCAGTTATAAACTTCTTGAATTACCGTGATGATGCTTTTCTTCGGCTTTTATGAACTTCTAGTAACTGCTAAAAAGGTTAATGCCACTTTTTTTTTGGATCGTCCTCAGGCATCAACGTATTCATGTTCATTGAATGAACTATAGTCGACTTCTTTTATCATGTTCTGAATTTAATTTTTTCAGATGCGATCTGGTTATGGCCGTTCCATATTTGAACCACTTCTGCCCATCATATTAGGTCGTGATGTTAGTGGTGAAGTTGCAGCTGTTGGCAGTTCAGTGCGGTCGCTAACTGTTGGTCAAGAAGTTTTTGGTGCGCTGCATCCAACTGCTGTGAGGGGTACTTATACTGACTATGCAGTTCTTTCAGAAGATGAACTTACTCCAAAACCATTGTCAGTTACTCATGTGGTAATTTTTGGAATTTTTTTATTATAGCTAGAGAAAATATCTTGATTTCTCTTGGTGGTTTATATGGCTCCATTGGGGCCCTTAAGTGTTTGATTATTTTCTTTTGATCTAGATATAAAATACCATTCTTTTCCTTTTTTGGGGGGTTTCCTTATAGTTTGGTGCAGGAGCTCGTAAGAGTGTATGTCTGATTGGATTGCAGGACATAGTTATACATTTATTGCGTTTCTAAATCATAATATCCCAGTCTCTAAATTTTATTCTAACTTCACGTGTCCCTCAGAAAAATCTTTTGAAGGAGAACTTTCTTTCTCACTGCCCCTTATAGTAGTAATTTGTTAGTGGAAGCAACCTGTAAAATACTTACAAAGTTTGTTTTTCTCCATTTAATGCACTTTTAAAATAATCACTACTGCTTTTGTGTAACTTGTTTCTGGTTGATGTAACATCTATTTGCTACATTTTCACTGTTAAACATGCTTGTATAGGAAGCGAGTGCCATTCCTTTTGCAGCACTGACTGCCTGGCGTGCTCTAAAAAGTACTGCTAGGATAACTGGAGGGTATGTTCCCATTGCTGTGACAATCAACTTTGTTCCAAGAAATCTCCTTTTTTCTTTTATTTATTCATTTATTTTCTGGGTGTTAGCATTGGCAAACTGCTCTCTTTTACCTTGTCTCCTTTTTCCCCTGCAATACAAGCTTGCTTAAGATGTCTTTCCTCCGTGCTGAACGTCCTTCATCTTTATTATAAGGCAATATGGTCAGTATTGGCCATGGATTTGGGACTTATTGACGGAAGAGGTCAAATAATTTGCTCACTAGCTACTACTGTTCGATGTTTACCTTTTTCCCCTGATGATTAGCGATGGCTTTACCCTTCCTCCTTGTTAGCTCCATTTGCTCATCAATATTCGTATTCCAAGATTTTTTTCTTGTTATTTAACTTTTAGCCTCTGCTTTGAGATATAGTAGTAAATCAAATTTGGCTACTCATAAAAGGAATAGCCTTAAAGCAACTTTCTAGGAGCCAACTTCAAAAACTAGTGCTGAGAAGAGGTTGGCATATAATTCTAGGTGGACTGATGCTGGATTTTTATATGCAAACTATTACTTTGTGTTTCCTCGCAACTACATTTTCAAAATTTTCTAATACAGGCAGAGGCTATTAGTTGTGGGTGGGGGAGGAGCAGTAGGTTTTGCTGCAATTCAGCTTGCAGTGGCTGCGGGGTGCCGCGTTACAACTACCTGTGGAAGTCAAAGTGTAGATCGGATTCTGGCAGCTGGTGCTGAGCAAGCTGTTGACTACACTGCGGAGGTCATCTGTTTCCCTCTGGATTATGTGACCATTCAGTTTTAGTGCCTCGTTAGATGAATAACTGCTAGTTAGCTATTCTCGAAATGAATTCTCTGATAGGTGATCTGATTGGGTTACAGGATATTGAATTGTCAATAAAGGGGAAATTTGATGCTGTCTTGGATACTATTGGTGTACCAGAGACAGAAAGAATAGGGATCAATTTTTTGAACAGAGGAGGAAATTATATGACACTTCAGGTAAGAAATGAGACATCTTTGTTTTCTTTGATGAAGAATTCTTTGACTGTTTATGTGTTAAATGTTCTGCATAAACATCTAACATTTTGTTCCCTTTTCTTAAAGGGTGAGGCAGCATCATTGGCTGACAGTTATGGATTAGCAATTGGGATTCCTGTAGCTACGGGTATTTTGTTGAAGAAACAGCTTCAATATCGTTATTCTCATGGAATAGGTACTAAAATTCTTCTACTACATTATTCTTTGAGCAGGCTACTTTTTGGAAATATGCATCAGCTGGAAAGTTTTTTCCTCACTTTTCCTTCTTCCTGTTTTGATTCAGAGTTCAAACTGCGGATAATTTTTACCTTTTAATAGTTCGTTGGCATGAGAATTGGATTACAAATTACTTACCATCTTTAGTATAGTATATTTTCCCATATAAATCAATGCATACAGAAATCTGATCTAAAATGTGCATAAGAATATTTTGGCTGTAGTAGGATACTTTCTTTCAGTATTTAGTTACAAGAAGCAATCTTATTACCTTAATAACTAGAAAAGCCGAGGTTTAAAAAAATAATAATAATTCTCACCCTTTCTGGAGGAGCTTTTCCCTTGATGCCTTCCTGTAGCTGAGTTTCACTATATCCATGTGCATATAGACACAAAGTGTCGGTAACAGTTACTGTTTAAGATTTCCTTGCTTTAACCAGGACTACATAAGGGTTCTCCAGGATTTGTTTTTCAATCTTTATGTCATGTTCAATAGGTGATATCTGACTTAGTCCGGAATAGCTATATCGCATCCTAAGAATTAAAATGGCAGATGAACATGAGATATCTTTATCGCTGGAGGAGTCACCAAGTTAACTTCACAGCCCTCGTGCCAGATATTGTCAGATTCTTAAATGATAGAGTCGAACTATTTTGCCAAAAGCTTGAGCTGATAGAAAATTACTTAATCTATTATTTGCATATTAAGGCACCCTTTATGCTAAAGTTTACTGGGCTGAACTTGTAGATCAAGCATAAGTAAAAATTGCCTTGTGCTCAAATTAATAATAGGAATTGGGTGGCGGCCAAAATTTGAACACTGAATTTATAATCCTGATACTTTGTTAAATAATAAAGTTAAACCTTTTTATTTAAAATCTTAAGCTAATAAGAAATGACTTAATCTATTATGTGACATGAGCGCATGTGATAAAAATTTATGGGTACATCTTAGATATCCCTCGCCCGGCTTCTCTCTTCACTGTTGGTTGTGGTAGTTGGGACTTCCCTTAGCTGTTTTTTCTTCACCTGTTTTTAAAATATTCAAAATATTACATTTTTCTCTTTATTTGTATCTAAATTAGTTTTTCACATAAGTAAAAGATATGGGACATTCTGCATCTGATTACCCAATTCCTATTTTGTATTTTGATGGGCCAGAATATTGGTGGACGTATATGAGGGCTGACTCAGAAGGTTTAGATGAGATCCGAAGGCTAGTGGAAGCTGGAAAGCTAAAAATACCCGTGGAGAAAACGTTTCCAATCACACAAGTGAAGGAGGCTCACGAGGCCAAGGACAGGAAGCACATTCCTGGTAAAGTAGTATTGGAACTCAACTGAAGTATAATTCGACAAGCTGGTTCTAATGTCCTCATTCACAAATCATTTATGCTAATTTAGCTTTTGTGTTTATGTAAAGGTATTATCTACGGTTCTCTCATGGTACGGTGCCCTTATATCACTGTTGGATGCCACTACTTAATTGTACGAAACAGAATTCAGCAGTGGATAAATATAAGGGTACAGTATCACGTGCTATCGGGCACCGTAGATGAACTCTTTATGTAAATGTTCTTTTTTAGTTTTGACCTTTCCTCTGGAGAGGGGTTACTGTATTGTGAGTCCTCTTCCTCTTTCTATATAGGACTGAGTTTGGTTCAGTATCTAATTCTTAGGTTGGTCTTAGTACTCACAATTAAGATATGATTTGCTATACTTGAATTACTCTCATCCGCATCTTGAACGTTTTGATGGTAGAAATTCAGTTCCTACATCTAAGGTGTAGATTAAATTCTAATCATCAATAAGTTGAAAGTGTTGGTGGTGGTGGTATTTCAAATATAACATTTTGTATTTCAATATGTATATGAAGACCAACATGAGAATTAAAACTAGAAATTAAACGAGGGTAACTTTGGAATTCAGTTAGGACTTCAGAAGTTGCAAAACTCTGAGAATCTGTTCTTTTGTACTGTCAAAAGAGTTTAGTTGTTTGTCAAAATATGATACAGCCAACAAAAAAAACCAGGGTGGTGTTTTGTTTTTTGTTGAAAAATCCAGGATAGAGTATATAAAAAAAGTAGAAAGGTTGCTTTTTTCTTATGGGAACAGCTTGGTTAGATCCAATATAAGTTAAGCCCCATCCCATCCTTTGAGTAAATCAGCACAGTCAGTGAAGTCAGCCGGGCTTAATCCTCCCAGTCCAACCATGGACCACCTGTTCTTAAACCAGGTTCCTCTGGTAAACATGGATCCAATTCCTATCATCCAAGCTCCCACAGCTGGCTTCCTTAGGATCATCTCCCCCTTATTTATTAAAGCGAGACCCTGCTTTTAATAGCTGGTTTTGTCTGGTTGTGGTGTAAATGTTCGGTCAAAACCCCATTCCCAATTCAAAGCAAAACCTTTGACTCACTCATTTAAGCCTTTTGGCGATTCTAACTCTCCCCCCATTTAAATTATAGTTCTTTGCACGACCCTACCACAATACCCAAATAGGTTTTCAGTCAGTAATTGACAAATCTATCTGACCGCATGACGTGGAGATAATTCGTTGGTTAGATTTCTTAGATTCCACATGGTCTACGGTGGTTCTTTACACAGCAGATTAGTTTTTTTTTTTTTTTTTTTTTTTTATAGTTAAATCACGCGCTGATCGTGTGCGATTCTCTATGTGATTGCGTGCGACGCGAACGTTGTACATCACACAGAGTCTCTCTCTGCCAACGAGGCCTTCGGTTCTTTGAACTGCATCGGTTTCATGGTCACACGCCTTTCCATGCGCGTGCACAGTCGTACCATGATTACTGTCTGTTTATTTTATTTATATTCTAAGTACGAATGAGGGAGAGATTTATTCTCATATTATATTTTTGATTAAATTAAGATTATTTTTATAATAATGAATTAACATTATACTTTTGCTTCTAATAATTAATCCTACTTATAATTTAATGATCGATAGATATATTCACCGAATTTTATATAATATTTCTATCTTAAAACGTACATCCAATGGATAATGTTATTGAATTCTTCAAATTTCATAAGTTATAAATTTTTATATCTCTTTTCTTACCATAACTTCCTCATTAATTTTATAATTTATTTTATAATTCATGTCCTAATACAATTATATAAGTGGAAGTTGTGAGAAACTTTGTGACATGATGAATTTGAAGAAGATTTATTGTCTACTTTTTTATACCCTTTTATGTTTTTTTATGTATTTTTGTTATATTATTATCATGTATATTTTTAGAATTTGTAATATAAATAAAAATAAATTATTTTTTTATTTCAAAAAGAGTCAAAAAGTATACTGATAAGAACTAAGAAACTATCCATCTTGAGCTAAGAAACTCCCATGACATCGTTTATGATAAGTTGTTGGAGATCACCTTATATATGAACATACTGATAAAGATCAAGTTACAACGAGAAACTAAAATTTACCAATTAATTGGGGCATTTATTCCATTCGCGAAATATATATTGAATTTTAATACGTAAATCATTTAATAACAAGTTATTGATAATTCAGACGAGAGCAGCATTAGCATTAAGTAACAACAGTTCTTAATAAACAATTCTACAACTAAAAAACTATTAATATCAAGAATAATATAACAATATCTAGCAATTCGTGCGAGCTGAAGACCATCTAAGGTCTCCTAAAGCTCGCATTGCAACATTGAACAATATTGACACACTCCATTTTCGTCTCTAATAAGGTCAACACAGTAGGAAAAATTAATGTTATCACAATAAATTCTATCATTGTTCACTTTAATCAAGATTGAGAGTAAGTATTGCCATCCAAAAATAAATTAATTTTTAAAAAAAATTAAGAGAAAAACACTTCCCAATCATCTTCACCAAATCATTTTCTTCTTAATTATCCAAAGTCTAAAACAAAGATAAATTTCTCAAAATTTAAAATTTCCTCCGAACATTATAAAATTTATACCGACACATTTAAATAATTTATAATAATAATACAAAGTATATGTTTTTAAATATTTTAGAGAAAAAAAAATTCCAAAAGATAAAATATTAAAATAATGAATAATGAATATACAACAATAAATATTAAATATTATTCCAATATTAATAAGCTAAAAAGGAAAATGACAAAAGAAAAAAAAAAAAAAAAAACAGAGTACAGAAATTAAGCAATGATGAGGTGAGTGATTGCACGATAAAGGAAGGCGCGTGGGGTCCGAAAATACAAACGTGTCTACGTGGCAGGATCATGATTAGTTGGTTTAATGCAAAGAGTTGGGTCGGGTTGTGGTCAGTCACGTGCACCTTTGGATTCTTCTCTTTGCTCTTTTCACTTCGCCCTCTACCCATGTGATCTTCCCTTAT